AGCAGTGAATTTTATTTAGACATTGTAATAATGTCTAAATATTAAAAAGCAGAGACAATTGACTCAAATCATAAATTATGGGGAGACTGTAGGGGAGGAGATTTGACATCTAAAACCATTATTTCTTATAACTAGAAGTCAGTGGAGACCTTTAAGGAAAAATTAACTGTCATACAGATGGTGAAAACTCCAGAAGCAGTAGCTAAAATTGAGAGCGCAGCAAAGAACTCTTTCTTGTGAAACTTTTAGGTTTTTTAAAAATGTGTCCATGAGCTAGGAAGATACCTCAATGGTTAAGAGCACTTGTTCTTTTCGAGTACCAAGGTTCAAGTCCTATGACCCGTGTTAGCTCACAACCATCTATAACTCTAGTTCCAGTGACTTCTTTTGACCTCTAAGGGCACCAGACATGCACATGGTGCTCATACATACATTGAGGCACAACATTCATGCACATACATTAAGTAAATAACTAACATTTTTTAAAAAATAAGTTTTAAAAATGTGCATGTGGGGCTGGAGGGAGCACAGTGGCTTGTTCTTCCAGAGGACCTGTGTTTGGTTCCCAGCATCCACATCAGATGCCTTATAACTGTCTAGAACTCCAGCTCCAGGGGATCTGATGATTCCCCACTCTGGCCTCCTTGGGCATCCACATTCGGGTGTACATCACATAAATACAAACAAAAAGTTTTTAAAATTGAGTATATATCTATCTGATTACAAATAAAACACTTTAGAAAGATCACAGAATACTCTTCTGTGCACAATATACACATTTCAACCATTTAACCCCCTAGTATTCTGAGAACTCTTGTCATCCAAGGATGTCATCAACAGAATGCTGGAATCCCCTAGGAGGTGATGGTTTCTAATAGTCATCGTGGTTAATGTTATCCTTAGTTGTAAGTGTTCATTTTGCTCTTTTAACAAGTGAAGAATTTTAAGCACATTGCAGATTAAAATATATATCATTTCAACATCTCAGAAATACTTCAATGATTTGTTTTCCTGTATGTTGTCAGGACTTCTGCGTCATGAATTACTTCTGCAGCCTTTCGTTTGAATGATGCCTCAGACGGCTGGACCTTTGCTGACCCCTTCTTCAATTCTTGAAATACTGTACTTATTACTGTCTCCTAAGAGTATGCAAAAGCTGTTCCAGTAATAGCCAGGAACACCACCTCGCCTTTCACTGTGCAAGGTTATCACAGGTGCAATTAATGGTAAATTAAGCCCACATACATCTTAGCCAAAGCTTTTTTTTTTTTTTTTTTAAAGGAAAGTTCAAATGGTGACGCTTGAACTGGAAATTGAAGTAAACTATGTTCATTATTTTAAATTAATTCCCATCCTTCAATTAAAAGGCATGTTGTTTGTTTCCTCAAAATGTCTCTATTATATTTGAGGTAGAATTAGTATGGGCATTCAACAGATTCTTTGTTGCCTGGGCAAAAAATTATGATACCCATCTCAACAACATAACCATGATAATAAATCTTCTTCTTTTTAAAAGTCCAAACTAGAAACCTTGACTGGTTGGTAGCAGCTGTCTTTTGAGTGCATATGTAAGTATTACTTTAATGGTTGCTATTGTTTGCTTTGCCTTTTTTGAGGCAGTCCAAATGTAATTGACAGCTGTCAGGTTTATTTTGTCATTTAACTTTTTCTTTGATCCCTCAAGCAAGAGATTTTATTTTATGTAAATTGTCAGTGACAATGCATAGAAATACATCTGTGCTACACTTAATCTTATATTCACAATTAAGGATAAAAGTTGCTGTTTTTGTTTGTGGCTTAGAGGATAGAATTGAATTAAAAGAGAAGTTATTTCTCTCTAAAATTTCATACTGTTCTCCCTTCCCTACCGGTTTTAGAACAAGTACATTTTGCCTATGTAATGACTGCTAGCTAGTGTTAATTGACAGAATCTAGAATCACCTGGGATGGGCCTCTGGCCATGCCTGTGGGGGAGCATCTCGATTTTGTTAATCAGTGTGGGAAGACCTGCCCAGTATGGGCAGTACCATTCCCTGGCTCTTAATAGCAAGTGTTTGTTCTGGATTTTGTAAGTGGAGAAAAGGGGCTGAGTAGCATGGATGCACTCGGCGCTCTGTTTTCAGTTTAGAATTTGATGTGGTGTGTCAGCTTCCTTAAGCTCCTCATGTTACTTCCCCACCATAATCAACTGTGCCCTTGAGTTCTGAGCCAGTGTAGTCCCCTTTTCTGAAGTTGCTTTTGCCAGAGTATTTTATCACAAGGCTGGGAGTAGGGGGTGGAGAAGAAACACTATGATAGTTTGTGCTGTTTGAATGAGACTGTCTCCTATAGGCTCAGATGTGTGAATACTTGGTCGCCAGTTTGTGGCACTGTTTGGATAGTTTTAGGATGTGTGGCCTTGCTGGAAAGAGCATTTCACTGGAGGTGGGCTTTGAGAGTTTAAAGTCTCATTCCATTCTGAGTTTACTCTCTCTGCTTCCTGCTTGCTGTTTGAGTTGTAAGCTCTCATCTCTTCCTGCCACCTGCAGTCAGAATTCTCTGCCATGATGGATTCATCATGGAACCGTAAGTTTAAATAAGCCCTTCTTTCTGTAAGTTGTCTTGTTCATGGTGGTTTATCACAACAACACAAAAGTAAGACCAGCCAACTCCCAATTTATTTTTAATTACTAATCCTTGATGCTTGATGTTGTTTCATCAAAAACAAGTTATCTTGAAATAAGGATCATTCCTATTGTAGTTCAAGTTGGCCTTAAACTTGGGTTCCTTCTTTTTCAGCCTCCCAGGTACTAGGAGCACAGGTGTCCAGCTTAAGATTCATAATCCATTTCTGGGAGTGGAGAGCTGATTTAATGATTAAGAGCATTTGCTGCTGTTTTTCCAGAGGATTCAGGTTCTGCTCCCATTGCCCTTTTGGGCAGCTCACACTGCTTAATCATTCTTTCTTTGGGATCCGGTGTTCTCTTCCGACCTCTACAGTCTCCTGCACACATGTACATACACTGATGCAGACATGCAGGCACATACATTAGGAGGGTGATGTGAGTATCATGACATCCATATGGAGGTCAGAGGAAAACTTGTAGGAAGTAGTTTATCCATTGTGTGGATGCTGAGGACTGACAAGTAAATGCCCGTAACCACTCAGCTGTGCTGGCTCTATTCTATTCTTCCTTCCCTTTCCCTTCCTCTCTTAACAGGGTCTTGCTGTATATCCCTGGCTGGCCTGGAACTCTCAAAAAGATCTGCCTTCTTCTGCCTCCTAAGTGGTAGAATTACAGATATGTTCCATCATGCCTGACAGTTCTCTTTTTCCAGTTATTTTATACCTTTCTTGGATGCTTTAGTGAGTAGGGAGGAGATACCATTGTTGTCCTATTTGCAGTCTTTGTTAATATTCAAAAAGAAAATACTTGTATCAGACTGGCTTTGAACTTAGGTCCTCCTCCCTCAGCCTCCCACTTGCTGCCGTTGCAGTTGTCGGCCATTATGTTGGCAGTTTGTTCCCAAAGTCTGGGTTATATCTTTGTACGTCTCTGTAGGGCACGAGAATTTGGGCATTGATTTGAATGATTCACCACTGCACACTCTACCTCCATTGCTTCTGGCATGCTTTTCTTGTTCATTCCTTCACTCTTCAAATAGTTGATAACAAACTCTGGTTCTAGATGCAGAAGATAAAGTGGTCACAGGCCCTAGTTCTAGAATAGTCATCAGCCCTGGAGAATCTCCATCTAGGCAAGGAATCACCAGATAGATAGAAATGACAGTGCAGCAGGATAGTTGTGAAAATAAATACCCGAGAAATGGCCAGAAGAGATAGACAGTAAAACAGTTCAAATCTGCTAGGACAGGCTGGGGAAGCTGGGCCTGAAGGTGGAGCGGTGGATGGATTGTTGGAAAGGGGAGTCGAGTGAACCTTGCACAAGGGTCACCGAAGACCATTGGGAAACACAGATGTTTACATTACAGTTCATCACAGCAGCAAAATTACAGGTATGAAGTAGCAGTGAAAGTGATTTTAAGGTGGGGGCCTCATCACAACATGAGGAACTCTGTTAAAGGGTCACGACCAGTGAGAACCACTGGTCTAATGTGTTAGCTGAGAAAGAGTATTTTTAATGAGTGCTATGGGGAGGTAGGGAGGCAGTGCAGCCACTGTGTGTTGGTGTTGATATGAGGCCAGAGAATCCAACAGTTAAGGAATAGAGGATTGAATGAATGTAAGCTTGCAGGTGTGTGTCCATCCGGGGATTTCCTATCAGAGATAGGGCTTCCATAAGTAGCAGTGTGAACTTTAAAGTGGGAGGTTCAGATTAGATCTCCATGTTCTTAGAAGGTGGTGGGAAGTAGACAACAGTGATGAAATAAATTGTGAACTCAGGATTAATGAAGGTAAGTAGATTTCTGTTGTATGGCTTCACGTGTTATGGTTGTACAGATGGAATTCCTGATGGCTTAAATGAGAAATGCAAGCTTTAGCATCTGATGAGACTGCCAGCTAGCGGTATAGAAGCAAAGACTAAGAGGTAAGCCACAGGAAGATAGCAACTGTTCCTGAATTCCAGAGTTAGTCTAGAGCAGTACTTGGTAATGTGACTGGTTTTGAGATGGGGTGTCTGGCTTTAATATACTTAACAGATTTTCCCCAAGAAGGTGGGAAGACTCCTGCGGGCACATTGCTACTCTCTCCCGTTCACAGTCTGTGCTTCTGGATAATTACTGAGTACTTGTGGATATCGCGGGACAGTAGGATAAAGCACAGTGTGGGCCTGCATAATGTAATCTCGATCCCGGCTCTTTTATAATCAATCTCACGTGGAAATCCGTAAACGTGTGCATATTACTTTTAAAGTCTCTTTGCTGTTAATTAAACTTTGTTCATAGGATGGTAAATGGGCTGGCGTTGGAGCAAACTATGAAGAGGCTAAATAAAAATTTTAAAATTGTAAATTATGGTTTCAGATACTAATATTTTACATTTTACTTTTTTCTCTAAGCAAATGGTTATGAGCCTTAGAGTTTCTGAACTCCAAGTACTGTTGGGCTACGCTGGGAGGAACAAGCACGGACGCAAACACGAACTTCTGACAAAAGCCCTGCATTTGTTAAAGGCTGGCTGTAGTCCTGCTGTACAAATGAAAATTAAAGAACTCTACAGGCGGCGGTTCCCTCAGAAAATTATGACGCCTGCGGACTTGTCTATCCCCAACGTACATTCAAGTCCTATGCCAGCGACTCTTTCTCCATCCACCATTCCACAGCTCACGTACGATGGGCACCCTGCATCGTCCCCACTCCTCCCTGTCTCTCTCCTGGGACCTAAACATGAACTGGAACTCCCACATCTCACGTCAGCGCTGCACCCAGTCCATCCGGACATAAAGCTGCAAAAGCTACCGTTCTATGACCTGCTGGACGAACTGATCAAGCCCACCAGTCTAGGTAAGAGTGATGTGAGGCTGTTTGGTGATGCAGTGCTTAGCGTGTTGCTTAGACTTTGAGTTTGACTCAGTTTGTTTGGTGATAGTGTCTAGATATTAATGAGAATCTTTTGAGTTTAGATTAAATCAAATATATAAGCGCTGTTGTTTAGACAAAAGTAAAGAGGTGGGTGGTGACCAATGGGTCAGACACAATAAATACTAAGTTTGAAACAAAGGTTCACTGTATACACTCTGGCTGTCCTCCTGTGTCTTTCAGTATAGACCAGGCTGTCCTTGAACTCACAAAGATCCTCCAGCCTCTGCCTTCTGAGCCATTTGTCCCACCATCCCTGGCTCCTAATTAATGTACAGTCACCCTTACAAATTAAATTACCACCAGTCTCTAAATTCTGTTCTTCTTTTTTTTTTTAATTATTTATTTTATGCACATGAGTACACTGTAGCTGTCTTCAGACACACCAGAAGAGGGCATCAGATCCCATTACAGATGGTTGTGAGCCACCATGTGGTTGCTGGGAATTGAACTCAGGACCTCTGGAAGTGCAGTTAGTGCTCTTCACCACTGAGCCATCATCTCTCTAGCCCTCTAAATTCTGTTCTTAATTTTCAGTGGTAGATGACATTTAAAACAGACTGACCAGTTTGGATTTCTTGAATGTGTAAATAGTTTCAATTATCATAAAAGGAAATTTAAGCTTTGGTGTTGTGGTCAACTTTCAGCTGCTGTTTTTCAAGTGGAGACGTATGTTTTAGGCATACACATGTGACATACCCAAATTCCTATTCATAGGTAATATGAGTGCTAGAAGTTTCTGTTACTAGGTTTCCCATCCTGAGGTTTCCTTATGAAGGTATAGGGTTCAACATGTTAATCACTTTTAATTGCTATGATGTCATCTTCCTTTATTAACGTGAAACAAATCGACTTTGTTGTGATTTTTGAAGCCTTTGATATAATATACTTTAAAGCAAACTTTTTTGGTTGCTTTTCAGAAATCAGTGTTTGGCAAATTGTGGCTGCCAAGCTAACTCCAGTGGTTTATTTTTGTGTGATATTTTGTGTAAGAACTTTGTTGGTGTTTGAGGAAGGATCTCCCTGGTTTTGCTTCCTTAGTGCTAAGATTGCATGTGGGAGCTACTGCCCCCAGCTCAGATTTTTTTTTTATATTCCTAAAATGTAAACAAAGCTAGTGACTATATAAATAACAGATCATGTGTGCCCCAGAGCCTAAAAGTATTTCCTGTCTACTGCTTATAGAAATGTTTTCTTGATTCCTGTCATTAATATTAAACATTTCAGTTTGAGGAATTGCTGAGTATTAAGAAAAAGTTTTGAGTACTTTTAGAGAAGGTGGGTGATGTTTAGGTTATAGTCTATTATAGTACCCCTGGTTGGCCTGCCATTCCATATGAAGTAGAGTATGACTTTGAATTCTTGATCCTCCTGTCTCTACCTCTACTGGAATTAGGGGCATATGCCACCAGTCATTTGGAGAAGATTTTTTTTGGTTAGATTTTTAATTGATTCTTTGAGAATTTCCTATGTGTATATAATATATTGGATCATATCTACCCTCTTCTCCCTCAGCTCTCCTTGGGCCCTCCTCAGTATGCCTCCTACTAATTTCAGGTTCTTTTTGTTGGTTGGTTGGTTTATAATCCACTGAATCTAATTAGTGTTTGTGCGTGGGTGTGGGGCATTTTGAGAGCATTATTGAAATTCTATCACCGATAGAATTAGTATTTGGTTTTAGTTGCTTTTCACAGAATTTCCCAGAATGAATGAAGATACATAAGGTATTTTCAAACATGAATTTTATTATTATTATTATTAGTGTGTGTGTGTGTGTGTGTTTGTCTACTTCAGCATGCACACGTGAAAGTGTATGTAGGAGGTTAGAGAGTTGGTTTTTCTCTACCATGCATATCCTCAGGATCAAATTCAGCCGGTCAGGCTCGAAGGCAAATGCCCTTACATGCCGAGCCATCTTGTCAGCCTGACAAACAGCATGAACTTTATAACACACCATTTTATTGTTTGTAGAGCTGGGTGGTGGTGGTGCACGCCTTTAATCCTAGTACTCAGGAGGCAGAGGCAGGCAGATTTCTTGAGTTCGACACCAGCCTGGTCTACAGACCAAGTTCCAGGACAGCCAAGGCTACACAGAGAAATCCTCTGTCCAAAAAAAGAAAAAAAAAATCAACCAAACAAAAAATGTTTTTAGATTTATTTTATTGTATGTGTTTAAATGTTTTGCCTGTTCATGGGTGCCTAGTATTGTGGGGGTCAGCAGAGGCCATCAGATCCCATGGAACTAGAGTTACTGGTTGTGAGGCATCATGTGGGTGCTGGGAACTGAACCCAGGTCCTCTGTAAAGGCAGCCAGTTCTCTTAACTGCTGAACCATCCCTACAACCGCATTTTATTCTTTTTGAAAATTTATTTAATTTTATTTTGTATGCATTAATGAGAGGGTGTCAGATCCCCTGGAACAAGAGTTACAGACAGTTGTGAGCTGCCATTTAGGTGCTAGGAACTGAACTCTAGGTCCTCTGGAAGAACAGCCAGTGCTCTTAACTGCTAAGCCATCTCTCCAGCCCCCCATTTCCCATTTTATTCTTAAAATGCTGAAATAAGAAAAAAAAAATCTACCTAATGCATATAAATAAACCTTGTGTGTGTTCATTAAGAACTAAAGTTTGTATATACACATAGATAACCCGTAGTATTTCATTTTGGTTTTTTGAGACCGTGGTATTTCTTGTTTTTCATAGATGAATCTTTTTTTTTTTTTTTTGGTTTTTCAAGACAGGGTTTCTCTATGTAGCCCTGGCTGTCCTGGAACTCACTCTGTAGACCAGGCTGGCCTCGAACTCAGAAATCCACCTGCCTCTGCCTCCCAAGTGCTGGGATTAAAGGCATGTGCCACCACTGCCCGGCATAGATGAATCTTGTGCATAGGATTGTGTGATTTCCTTTTTTTTTTCTTCCTTAATAAGATAAGCATCTGTTCTTGTCTGATTCATGTAGATCTCTACCATTAAAGGCCTTATCTATGTTTATGTAAAGTTTATATTTATTCCTATCAATACATGTCATCTGAAGAACGATCATTACATCATCTGAATTTGAAAGAAAAAGTTGATAGCTTGAATTTAATTTAGTCTCGATTTTAAGCTTTTTTATAGTTTTGATAATTAACCTCCCATGCTGTCACTAACATAAAGTTCAAGTGCTGATGTGGTTGGATGATATTTCACATGTGTATCAGTTTTGTTATGGAAAGTAGAAATGTGAACTAGATGAGTATATTAGCGTGTAGAAAGTTAAACTCACTTTGCTGAGGTGCTTTGTTCAGATGTATGCATTAGTTTTTCATTCTCATATCTGTATTCATTGTTTCCAGTTTCATACTTGTATAGGTATTGTAGCTTGGTTTAATTCACCATAGTTTACCCTTACGTCTTAGTGTTTTAATCCCAGCACTGGGGACACAGAGGCAGATGATGGATCTCTGTGAGTTGGAGGCCAGCCTGGTCTACAGAGAAAGCTCCAGAACAGTCAGGTCTACACAGAGAAACCCTGTCTTGAAATTTTTCTTTTAAATACTTATTTTTAATTTTTTATTAAGTGTTTGTGACTGTGTGGGCATGTGAGTGCAGGTCCCCAAAGAGGCCAGAGGCTGGAGCTCCACTTATGGGTGATTGTAAACCACCTGATATGGTTGCTGATGATTGAACTGTGTCTACTGGAAGAGCAGGGCATGCTCTTAACCAGCACGCGGTCTCTACCCTCCTCCACCCCAGCACCCTGTTTTTCTTAAAGACCAGAGTCTTGCTAGGTAACCCATGTAGCCTTTATTTGTGTGATTCTTAGCTAAGAATTTTGTTGTTTAAGGCTGGATCTCACTCTGTGGTCCAGGCTGGCTTGGAACTCAACTGTGTAGCCTAGGCTTGGTTTGAGCTCCCAGCAACCCTCCTGTCTAGTTTCTGGCTCCTGATTGCTTGTGAGCCTCCACACCCAGCCCAGAATTTGTCTTTATAATCTAGAAAAGTTAAAATTAAACCAGTGACTGTACCAGGAGCTCGCTAGTTGGTAAGGTTCTTGTCACCAAGCCTGACAGCCTGACTTTGTTTCTAGGGAACCTCATGGACAAGGAAAAAATTGACTCCAAAAAGTTGTCCTTTGACTTCCACATGTGTGTGCTACCCCTATCCCATAAATAAATAAATGTTTTTTTAAAAATATCTACATTGAATATGTAACAGACCATGTGTGTCTGCATACCCTAAAGTATTTACTGTCTGACTCTTTTAGGAGAAAGTTTGTAGATTCTTGTCATAAATCACTGGGTATTTCAGTTTTGTTGATTGGTGAAACTTGAGAACACTTTGAGAATTTCTGGATTCCCTCTCTCCCTCCCTCCTTCCCTCCCTCTCTCCCTCCCTCCCTCCCTTCCTTCCTTCCCTTCCTTCTTTCCTTCCGACAAGGTTTTATGAAGCCCAGGCTTAACTAACTCCTTGTACATCCCGGGCTGTCCTCAGACCTGCAGCAGTCCTCATTCATGCCTTAGCCTCTCAATTCCATCACTGCTGGCGTGCAGCACCACAGGCTGAAGGTTACTTGGGGACTTTGGGGAACCTCTTCTCTTCTCTTCTCTTCTCTTCTCTTCTCTTCTCTTCTCTTCTCTTCTCTTCTCTTCTCTTCTCTCTTTCTTT